AGTAAATGCTATTTCGTGAAAAATTTTCTGACAGATTTGTATTTAATCATAGCTCTGTTTTACCGGCAATCTAAGAGATATTCTGTCCCCAAATTTTGTGTACTATATGTATCTATCAACTTTCGGTCTGCCATCTTCAACAACTACTTTCCAACCACCTGTTTCCCTCTAAGTTTACTGAATTTTACAATCACCTTCATAAACTTACTACTCAATCAATATTACAAATGACACTGATCAGCATAAGATTCAAGATTTACTAGTAGTATATCTGTAAATGACAAATGAATACTATATTGTTTTCTAAATTACATCTAGATTTCTTTTTTTTCGGTCATCAGCATGTCATACAAAACGGATCATAGTAATAATCCTCATATTTCTTTTGTGAGTGATTGCTAACTCCTAGTTGTAAATAATCGATCGTGTTAAGCTTCAATCTCGAATCAAACCATCTCAACTTAGTTCGTGCTTTTTATCTACTGGCTTATGAATAAACGATGAAATTAGAAATTAAAATTTATCAGATTTTTGAATCATTTTTTTAATCTTCGATTCGAATATTTAGACTATAACAGAGTATCTGCATAACATAGGTGAGTGAACGTACTGAATTAGTGTAATTCCGGTTGTAAACACTACCTCGTTTCAAAACTAGCCAATGGAATACATTTGTACTCCCGTGACAGTTCTATTTTTTCCTATTACAGCTCGAAACTGCTTATCATTTCAAACGCAGAAGTTTCCGCCACTTAGCTGTCATGGGTTATTACAGTTATGACTTATTTAATAAATATCATTCATTTTTGATTTCCCAAGGTATCATTTCAGTAAACCCTTTTCCTAACAAAATCAGATGATTATTTTTTTTAATGATGAGATTGAACATTTAAAATCACTTTTTTGTTTGAAATGATACTGTCAATATTTCTGGGAATATTGAACACAGCAAAAATAAAAAATCGGGAACAAGATAAGAAAAACTGTTTTATTGTCTAACATAGAAGAAGAATAGTAATCATAGTAAAAACAAACTTAAAATGATGAAATGAAATGACATTTAACAAATCGCGATTCATTCATTTTCCAGTTTAACAAAACATTATGGCTTTTTACGTATCTGATCCAATACATAATTGTCAATTTTATCTGACAATGCATTGATCACTTTTGTTCTGACTTGTTGATATTGTGGGGTTTTTTTAATTTGTTCTAGTTCTTTCTTCTCATTCACACCTAAATAATCAATAAAAATAATTTAAATTTAATTACAAGAGACAAATATTTCAAATATTTCTTGACGTTTTATTGTTAAATGTCAGTCAGTCAGTCAGTCAGTTACAATGTAGAACTTCGTACGTAAGTACATTAGTACTTGTTGTCATGCCATATTAGCAAACACAGACGCCATTGTCAATTCGAATCCCTCCCATTGTGGTAGGGATTTGAATTGAAAATTGAATTATCTGAAGATATTGTCCAGAAATGATACATAAAAGCTCCATTAAATAAATCACATTAGCTTAGATAATAGAACACGATGTGAAACATCCATTCGCAATATAGATCGCGTTTCCAATATTCATGTTGAATAAGACATTAATGCGTGAATAATGATATTGAAGGTTAGTGTGATGATGAAGAAGGCATATTACTTTTACTACGTTAACAATTTTGTCAATATTCATTTGAAATTTAATCTTTAAAAAATGTATGTGTATTCACTTTAATTTATAAATATTTTAAAACTCATCAATTGTATTCAAAACATTTTCATATTATCATTTAAAACAATCAATAGTGAATTTTAGTGTTTGCCATTTTTGAAATATTCATCAAACATTAAGATACAACAATACTAAACTTTGTATGATAAAATGTACTCAACACTGCTCATCACTGAGTAAACTAAATTGATAACTACTTAAATAATCTAAAGGTTAGTAGTCATTTAGAAAAATAAATTAGCTAAAATTGAATTGAACCTTATTCATTTTCTAGATAGAAATGTAGTTCAACTTGAACTTCGTTACTTAAATCATCAATATTTATCCTATTTTAAACTTATGAACTGATAATTATTCAAACATTGCCATAGTTAAACAATCAATCAGTTATATTGAACTTCAAGTACTCCACAAATAAATACAACAATATAGTAAGAAAAGAAATTTCAGCTTAATAAAACAACATAATGATCTAAGAAAAGCTTGAAACCATTGAACAATACTAAGAATAATAGTTTACCATTCATTGTGACTTACTTTTTGCCTTCTGTGTATAAATCACATTGATGGTGATTAAGAAAAATACAAGCCAAAATTTAATCTAAAATTAAACCAAATATAAAAAAACATGAAAGAAAAAATAAGACACTTCGACATTGATCAATGATGTAGTAGTAAATTGATCATTGAATGATTTTTACAACTATTCATCTTTTAAGGATAATATCTTTATATCAAATGTGAAATACTGGGAATAGATAGATAGTACATGTGATGTATGTGACAAGAATCGGTTAATTCAAGGGATAAGAATATTATTTTACACATTTGAAATCATCAATCAATCATTGTTAGACCACCATTAGAAACCTGGATGCACTGGACAGCCGTTTCGCCCTGGTATGGGACTCATCAGTGGCAGTGCGCATCCACGATGGTGGTCTAACAATGATTGATTGATGATTTCAAATGTGTAAAAAAATCGCAAACCTCCAAAACTGTGCCCCAAAATAAGAATATTAATCATCTCAAGCAACACAATTCAATTACATCATGTAAAAAAGCAGATAGTTGAAATCTTGTAAAAAGCTCCATTCTACACTGATCTATACAATCTCTATGTTATTAATCTGTATGTAAACTTACATGCATTCTAGTTATGGACTGAATTGTATGCTTCATAATTAAAACGAAAATCTTCTCCTTATATATTAATTAGTCTTCGAAATTTTAGTGGTAATCTTTCCCTTTAGGGGTTGAATGTTATTTTTGTATTACGAATAATAAAAAATAAAACAACATTTACCGAAATCAAAGTTTAACAAAATAAACACTTCACTCCTCCTACTTTTAGTTAGTTGTCTACAATTTTTTCTGTTTGAGAATAACAATTTATTGACGTTTTTTTGTATTTATTGTATCGATGTAGAAAATGCCCATGTATTCCGTTAACTTTGATCTGGTCATTGTGTATAGTCATAATAATAATAAACAAAGTATACATTTGTACAGAAAAAAATTATTGAATAATCTTTTGTTTTACTGAAGTAATTTAATGTGTATATTCTTCAAACAAACAAACACAAATGCACAATACATATTATTTGTAGTAAACAAAAGTGTCTAGTTAGTGCCTTTTTTTTTTATCTGTCAAAGCTAAAGCTAGAAATATATATTTTTGTCCGAATACTACTTACTTGTCATATAGACGAACTGACTAATTATTCTCCCCTATACATATTTACTGGAGAGCTATGATTTATATGAAAGATTTGGTTCTAATTGTAGAGAATACTCTCACACAACACAAAAAAAGCTAGAGTTCAGTCAATCCGAAATTAATATCAGTTCATAATGAAGAGTATCATCTTTTCGGTAAGATTTGTATTATTTTTTAATAAGTTTGTTGAGATTAAGAAAAGAAGACTTGGTAACTACCAATTAAGAAGGCTAATCGAAACTTCCATAAACTTCATATAAAAAACCAACTTTTACTGGTAAATGTTAACATCAGCCTTTATTTTCTCAAATATAACATCAAACTATGATCAAATTAAAAAGTGCAACACAGTTTGACACAAACAACCCTTTAGTCAACAATTAGTCTGTCAATTAAAATATCTCTTTACATGAATACCATAACTTATTGTTTTAACTGTCAAATCATTTGTAGAAGAGATCATCATGTTTACAATGATGTGATATCATTTTCTTTGTAAATTTTTATTGTCTTTTTCAAATTATTTGAATATTTTTGAATATCACTTCTCATTTAGTCATCCCGTTACATTCTTTTTCAAAGTAAATTTTTCTTTTAAAAAACTAAACGTCTACAACTCAATAGGGTTGATTGTGAAAGACACATGTCACAAATCATGATATTCGAATAAAAATATATATATATATATTACTTATATCTTTAATAAGCATTTACCAATAAATAGCATATACTTCTGAAGAGATTATGTGTACTGTTTACACAGAGGAAAATACTTCTATAGCATAGTAGCAGAGAAATTTTTATCTACTAAGGTGAAACTGTGAAAAGCAAAATAACATTATAATCGTTTCATAGTTTTTCTGTGTACAAATACTGAGTACACGTTATCTTTTTTCAGATAATTACTGGACGATAAGAAATCGAGTTTTATTCAGTTTCAATCAACTATCAAGTTTATTTCTTAGTTCTTCAATCAAACAAAATCATTGTACCATACATAGAACAATAGTCATCAAATAAAACATAGCAATGAAGGAGACTTTTAATGTCGTGAAAATTACGTCATTGATTCATGATTCTCGAAAGTTTTTAATTCTCTCAATACCAATGTCACACATTTCAATCTTTTCTTTCTAGCCTAGACTTGCATCTTTTTATTCCTTAAAACAATTCTATACTAAGGAAATATAATCTGTATAGTGCTATAAGAATAGGCCTACGATTTTCTAGAAGAAATGTTTATTTTTTTTAACTGATTGGTCACGATTTTTTCAGCTGAAGGATATTTGAAAATGACTTAGTAACGTTAGCAGTTTGTTTAACTTTTCTGTGAAAAAATACCCTCAAACAGAAGAACCAAATCAGAACTTTTTTCATCAACAGTGAATATGTGGTAAAATAATATTACTGATCATCAAAATTATCAGTAAAATAATGATTAATGTAGACTGTTTTATGACTAGCAAGTCGATATAATGATTGAAATTCCTAGACGTTTGGTTAAAATGGATTAGGAAGAAATTCCCGAAAGAAAAAAAAACCCACAAATATATTCAATAAAAGCGTATTATTTGAAAATGACAGGAAATCGATTGTAAGCACAAGTACAAACATTCCTAATTGATCGGGTTACCGCCTCATTTCATGATGAAAAGCCTTACAGAAAATCGATATGTATGTATGTATGTATATATAGAAAGTAAATGTAGCTATAATGTACCCTAAAATACTGACAGTATATACACGGAAGTCATTTTCAAACCTACTTTTTGATCATTTTTCCTCTGAATCATTACTAGTGTTGTGTGTATGTGTATTAATGTTTTTTAGCTTTCCAGATTGGTTTTAGAATGAGTTATTTTTCAACTTTCATCAATGTCATATTTATTTGATCCATAATTTGCAACTTTGCTAGTGTATATCGGGCCCTTTCCTAATATTTGGTAGTAATCAATACGTATAGTGTATTCACTTGTTTATGACTTCATAGTCGATCACAATTGTTTAAAAATCAATGCCTTTCTCTTTATTTGAACTTCGTGTGCATTCCTATGATTGACATCTATCAGTATTCACCTGTTCTCGTAGCGTATTCATGAAACATCTTATTTTTAGTTCATTTTTATTTCAGATAAAGCATATGGTCAATAAAATAATTAGATCTCAGTTAGTGTTAAAACTGTTGTATGTAACTAGCAGTGTTAGATATTAGAGTATAATCATATAAACATTTAAGTGCTGGAAAGCACTGCAACGATCATCTGGACAGCCCATAATGAGGACATAACAGCATGCTCTTTAAAGACTTTGTCTCCAGTCTGGGTATAATCTAGGTAAGAGGGCAATCCAACTTACTTATTTAATTACTAACTAACCATCAAAATCCTGTTTACCGACTTACGGAATAGTCAGACTACCAAAAATCTTCAGCCATATCTGTCTTCGGTTCGACTTTTCATTGGCTACAAACTACTACACATAAGCTTGATGTCTGCCTACAATCCACTCTTTCCTTTATCTCTACCTTTCATTTCTCCATTGATAGTTCCTAATTAGGGCTTGGTTTCAGCAAAGTCTGTTTTATCTACCTCCAATTTCATTTCATCGATTCTTCCTTAGTTGGCAGATAGTTCGTTATCTGTCATAGTACATGTTCCTGATGGCCTCTGACCAATGTATTTGGAACATCTTGAAAAGATATCTTTTTATAAATACATCCACTGCTCTGGTGATAGTGATGATTGTTCTCCAAGTTTCAGCTCTGCACAGTAGGACCGTTTAAACGTTGATATTACATGATACCTCGTCTAAGGATATCATGTTCTTCAACCGTATAAGTTCTGTCCTTACATTGTTTATTCGTTCCTTAACATCCATATCAGTTCCACCTTCCGTGTGACTAATGCTTCAAAGGAGCATTAAGGCTGTCGTCTCTTCTAATGCTTTGGTAGGGACACATTACACTTTTAGCCGAAAATAAATCATCGCAAAAAATAGTTCTACTAATCTTCGATATTGATGCTAACCTCATTAGCTCCACTTGACATACCGTAGCTGCAGGTGCTCGTTCAGGCATCCACATTTGACCACCTTAAGTTTAATTTAATCTCTATTACACAATTAGAATTCCGTCTGGAGCCCCCCTGTGGCTACTGTTGAATAGGGGGTCCTGCAGAAAACGAACTCGCTAAGACAACCAGCCAGAAAAAAAATTAAAACTATTTAAACTGTGCCCTAGGAATTAGAAGGTCTCCTGCGTGTCTTCAACAAACTGGTCATTGGTGGTACCATATTTCCACATAAACGATACACAAGGCCAGACGGAATTCACCAGATCACACTACTGGGAACCAAATTGACCGTATCTGTATCAATAACAAGTTCAGAGGGACCGTGGAGGACGTGAAAATCAAGAGAGGAGCTGGCATAGCTTCATTCCATTACTTGCTAGTCGCCAAAATTACACTTAAACTCAAGAAGCGCAGAACAGCCGGGTGGACAATATCACAAACGTTTATTACTGTAGAATCTATTTTGAATGTTTTGTTTTTTGGAAAATCCCTCCATGTATATATATTTGTGTTATGATATGACTGACTCTTTCTGTTGACATTTTGGTACTTTATTTGATTCCATTTTGAGATTTTATGATTGCATACTGTTATTATTTCTATATCTTGTACTGATATTGAAGTCTTTATGTTTGCTTCTGAACTGTACATATGTTGTTTAAATTTGATATTTAATATGGCTACAGCCATATTTGGATTCGATACTTCAACAGTACGGACTGGAAGCACTTATTCTTCCAGAAACGGATACCCACCGCGGTAAATTGGAACTAGAAGGTATCACACTGCACCTATTGGAGCCGGAATGAACTGTTAGAGTAGAAAATCCATTTACAGTTACGGCCTTTGTTTTGGACACAGTAAACCTCGAGGAATTCAAAATAACCCTCAACAATACCTTTCAAGACTTTCATGATCTACTCAATGGAAATGAAACTACCAAGAACAACAATTGGAAAGTGGTCAAGGATGCAATCGCTTCAACATCTCATGACGCTTTGGCCCACAAGAAGCATCATCACACGGAATAGATCTCTGTTAGTGCTCCTGAGAAAAACTTAAGAAAGGAGGAACAAGAAGGACGCAATCAGCATCCGCCAAACAAGAGTGAAGAAAGCCAAGGCACAAGGTGAATACACAGAAGTAAACAGGAAAGTGAGGAAAAACATCATAACCGACAAACAAAAATATGTTGAAGATCTAGCAGTGACGGCGGAAAAGGCTGTGAGAGAAGGGAACTTGAGACAGTTGTACGATACAACAACTGGAAACTATCGTAAACCAGACCGACCAGTGAAAAGCAGAGAAAGCAAAGTAATCAGCAATATTGAAGAATAACAAAACAGGTGGGTAGAGCACTTTGAGGAGCTCTTGAATCGACCAGCTCCACT